TGACCGTATATATTACTCGGTGTCAAATCAAACCCATCAAAACTTTCATGATAACAACCCACCAGAGTGTCCCACGACTCATGGTCAACACAAAGAGGAATCCGTCTCACAAGTATCAATATACGTAGTAGGGATCACAGCTTTCGACACAAAACCACCCCACGACTCATGGTCAGTGATAGAGCATCGTAGCATCTCATGTCGTGTACTTTTTGATGGAAGGCCTGGATTAATAAGTCCCAGCTTATTTTTATCCATTATTGATATGATATGAATAAATCTTATTAATTCTTTAGGGTTCCGTGATCTCATCGTTTACCATCTTTACGTTTATTTACCATTTCATCCATCGCATGAATCGAAAACATAAATAAACCTAACATACATCTAATGCATGCATACGGTGGGATGATCATGTCCTTGCCTATACGACCCATTAGAGCCAAAATGGGTCTATGCCTATGTACGTGATACAACAAATAAATAAAACTACTTCTATTACAATTCATTTTATCTACCCGTACAAGCACAGGCCTTCGAGATTTTCAACTTGTAAAATTACCCACACTATCGTGGGCCTTTCGCATCGAACGGTCTCCACCTTTGATCTAATCTTTCTAACGATACAAAAATTTAAAATTTTACAAATCAAATCTCAAGAGACTAGCAGGTCTCGATAGATTACATTCATTCAATCTTATTGAATAATATACAACATTCAACCATATTGAATAAAACATGCAAACATTCAATCATATTGAAATAAAATGCATCCAGTCATTCATTATGTGTATTAGGCTCATGATCATCCCTAAAACATTCATCACATGAATAACTTTTTTTTTTATCAAGTCGCGACTTACGCGACTCGCGACTCGCGACTCCATGTCGCGACTCGCGACCTCAACTCGCGACTCGCGAGACGAACAGAGGCTAATCCAGAAAAACTCGCGACTCGCGAACATGTCGCGACTTATCTCGCGTCTCGCGACCCATGTCGCGACGTTTTTCGCGACTCGCGATAAACTGGGGCTCGAAAAATTTGAATTCGCGACTTGTAAACAACAAGTCGCGCCTCGCGACTACATGTCGCGACTCGCGACTCTATGTCGCGACTCGCGACTTGTTTCGCGATTTTTTTTATTTTATAATTAATATGTTTATCAAATAAACATTTAATTATCTTGTTTATCATATAAACATGAAACAAATCAAAATCTATTTTTAAAGATGATAACCATGGCTCTGATACCACTGTTGGATTCGCCTGTACCGTACGAGCTATACGCAGCGGAATTTAAAATTTTTTAAAATATGTATTTAACAAATAAATACATAACTCGTACATACATATGGCGAATTAACAGATC